GATTAAAAATTGAGGATTTTCATGGGAAAAATTTGGATTTTTTGGGGAAAATGGAGTTATTTTAGGGGAAAAAATTGGATTTTGGGGAAAAATGGGTTTTTTTTAGGGGGAAAATTAGGCGTTTTTGGAGAAAAAATACAGTTTTTTGGTGGAAAATATAGGATATTTTTGGAGGAAAAATTTGGGGGGTTTGGTGGAAAATTGGGCTTTCCCCGCCCCCAGCTCGTACCTGCACTGCGAGTGGGCGACGATCGCGCAGCTGGAGAAGGACAAGAGGATCCACCAGAAGCTCAAGCGCTTCAAGACCAAGATGAACCAGATGCGCCACTTCTTCCACGAGGTTGGGCCAAAAACGGGCGTTTTGGGGAAAAAAATGGGTTTTTTGGGAAAAAAATTGGATTTTTGGGGAAAAAAAACGGGGTTTTTTGGGGGAAAATGGGATTTTTGGGGGCAAAAATTGGATTTTTTGGGGGGAAAAATTTGGATTTTTTGGGGGAAATGGAATTATTTTAGGGGAAAAAATTGGATTTTAGGGGAAAAATGGGGTTTTTTAGGGGGAAAATTAGGCGTTTTTGGAGAAAAAATACAGTTTTTTGGTGGAAAATATAGGATATTTTTGGAGGAAAATTTTTTTTTTTGGGGGGGAAAAGATTGGATTTTTTGGGGTTAAAAATTGAGGATTTTCATGGGAAAGACTTGGATTTTTTGGGGGAAATGGAATTATTTTAGGGGAAAAAATTGGATTTTAGGGGAAAAATGGGGTTTTTTAGGGGGAAAATTAGGCGTTTTTGGAGAAAAAATACAGTTTTTTGGTGGAAAATATAGGATATTTTTGGAGGAAAATTTTTTTTTTTGGGGGGGAAAAGATTGGATTTTTTGGGGTTAAAAATTGAGGATTTTCATGGGAAAGACTTGGATTTTTTGGGGGAAATGGAATTATTTTAGGGGAAAAAATTGGATTTTAGGGGAAAAATGGGGTTTTTTAGGGGGAAAATTAGGCGTTTTTGGAGAAAAAATACAGTTTTTTGGTGGAAAATATAGGATATTTTTGGAGGAAAATTGTTTTTTTGGTGGGGAAAAGATTGGATTTTTTGGGATTAAAAATTGAGGATTTTCATGGGAAAGATTTGGATTTTTTGGGGGAAATGGAATTATTTTAGGGGAAAAAATTGGATTTTAGGGGAAAAATGGGGTTTTTTAGGGGGAAAATTAGGGGTTTTTAAAGAAAAAAATATGTTTTTTTGGTGGAAAATATAGGATATTTTTGGAGGAAAAATTTGGGGGGTTTGGTGGAAAATTGGGCTTTTTTGGGGAAAAACTTGGATTTTTGCAGGAAAAAATTGGATTTTTTAGGGGAAACTTGGATTTTTTTTTAGGGAAAAATGGATTTTATGTACAGGAAAAATTTGGATTTTTGGGGGGGGAGATTTGGAATTTTTTGGGGAAAAAAAATGGAGTCTTTTTGGGGGGAAAATTAAGGGTTTTTTGGAGAAAAAGTGGGGTGGTTTTGGGGGGGAAAATGGGGTTTTTTGGGGGAAAAATTTGGATTTTTGGGGGAAAAATTTGGATTTTTGGGGGAAAAATTTGGATTTTTGGGGGAAAAATTTGGATTTTTGGGGGAAAAATTTGGATTTTTGGGGGAAAAAATTTGTATTTTTTGGGGGAAAAATTTGCATTTTTTTGGGGAAAAGCAGGGAGTTGGGGCAAAAGTGAATTTGGGTAGAAAAAAGAGGATTTTGGGTTTTTTGGCAGGATGAGGAGCCCTTCAACCCCGACTACGTGGAGGTGGATCGGATCCTGGACGAGTCCCACAGCGTGGACAAGGACAACGGCGAGGTCAGTGGGGAAAACGGGGGGAAAAACGGGATTTTTGGGGTTAGAAAACAAAAATTGGGGGTTTCAGGCATTTTGGGGGGTTAAAATCGACAAAATCGGGGATTTTTGTGGATTTCCTGGTGGTAGAACCCCAAAATTGAGGATTTTAGCGTATTTTGTGGTGGTAGAATCCCGAAATTTGGGATTTTTGTGGATTTTGGAGTGTTAAAACCCCATAATTTATGATTTTTGTGGATTTCGTGGTGGTAGAATCCCAAAATTGGTGATTTTCATGGTTTTGGGGTGGTAGAGCCACAAAACTGAGGATTTTTATGGATGTGGTGGCAGAACCCCAAAATTGGAGATTTTTGTGGGTTTTGTGGGATTAAAATCCCCAAAATTGGAGAATTTCCGTGGTTTTGGGGTGGTGGAACCCCAGAATTGGTGATTTTCAGAAGTTTTGTGGTGCTGGCATCCCAAAATTGGAGATCTTTGTGGATTTTGGGTGTTAAAATCCCCAAAATTGGAGAATTTCAGTGGTTTTGTGGTGGCAGAACCCCAAAATTTGGGATTTTAAAGGGTTTTATGGTGGTAGAACTTCAAAGTTTGGGGTTTTTTGTGGTTTTTACTTTGGTAGAACCCCAAAATTGGGGATTTTCAGGAGTTTTCTGCTGGTAGAACCCCAAAATTTGGTGTTTCCAGGGGTTTTGGGGTGGTAGAATCCCAAAATCGGTGATTTTCAGAAGTTTTGTGGTGCTGGAATCCCAAAATTGGAGGTTTTTGTGGATTTTGAGGTGCTAAAATCCCCAAAATTGGAGAATTTCCGTGGTTTTGTGGGGGCAGAACCCCAAAATTTGGGGTTTTTTGTGGTTTTCACTGTGGTAGAACCCCAAAATTGGAGATTTTTGTGGACTTTGTGCTGGTAGTACCCCAAAATTTGGGGTTTTAAAGGGTTTTATGGTGGTAGAACTTGAAAGTTTGGGGTTTTTTGTGGTTTTTACTTTGGTAGAACCCCAAAATTGGGGATTTTCAGGAGTTTTCTGCTGGTAGAAACCCAAAATTTGGTGTTTCCAGGGGTTTTGGGGTGGTAGAATCCCAAAATTGGAGATTTTCATGGATTTGTGGTGGTAGAACCCCAAAAATTGGGCATCTTTGGGGATTTTATGGTGGTGGAACCCCAAAATTGGGGATTTTTATGAATCTTTTGTTGGTAGAACCCCAAAACTGGAGATTTTTGTGGATTTCGTGCTGGTGGAACCCCAAAATTTGGTGATTTCAGGGATTTTTTTGCTGGTAGAGCCCCAAACTTGGAGATTTTTGTGGATTTTGGGGTGTTAAAACCCCAAAATTAGGGATTTTCAAAGGTTTGTGGTGGTGAAACCCCAAAATCGGAGATTTTCAGGAGTTTTGTGGTGTTAAAACCCCAAAATTTGTGAATTTTCAGGAGTTTTGGCGTGGAAAAACCCCAAAATTGGGCATTTTCATGGATTTTATGGCGGTAGAACCCCAAAATTTGGGATTTTAGTTTAATTTGGAGTGTTAAAACCCCAAAATTGGGGATTTTGGTGAATTTTTGGTGGCAAAATCCCAAAATTAGAGATTTTTTTGTGGATTTTGGGGTGCTAAAATCCAGAAATTGCCAATTGGCAGGGATTTTGGGGTGTTAAAACCCCAAAATTAGGGATTTTCAAAGGTTTGTGGTGGTGAAACCCCAAAATTGGAGATTTTTTGTGGATTTTGGGGTGTTAAAACCCCAAAATTAGGGATTTTCAAAGGTTTGTGGTGGTGAAACCCCAAAATTGGAGATTTTTTGTGGATTTTGGGGTGTTAAAACCCCAGGATTTGGTGATTTCAGGGATTGTTTGGTGGCAGAACCCCAAAATTGGGGATTTTTGTGGGTTTTGTGGTGATAGAAGCCCAGAACTGGAGATTTTCAGGGATTTTACTGGAATTACCTGCCCAGGTGTGTGTGTCACCTGCCCAGGTGTGTCCCTCACCTGCCCAGGTGTGTCTTGCAGCCCGTGGTGTATTACCTGGTGAAGTGGGAGGTGTTTTACCTGCCCAGGTGTGTCCCTCAAGCCCACTCCCAGGTGAGACACGCCCACTCTCAGGTTAGCTCCACCCACTCCCGGGTGAGACACGCCCAGTTTCAGATTAGCCCCACCCCTGCCAGGTGAGCCATACCTTGTAAAGGTGAGCCACGCCCACTCCCAGGTGAGACATGCCCACTCCCAGGAGTGCCAGACCCACTACAGGTGAGCCACGCCCTCCACAGGTGGACACGCCCACTCCCAGGTGTGCCACGCCCCTTACAGATAAGCCCTGCCCACTCCCAGATTAGCCCCACCCACTCCCAGGTGAGCCACGCCCTCTCTCAGATCAGCCCCACCCACTCCCAGGTGAGCTCCACACCTGTACAGGTGAGCCACACCCACTACAGGTGAGCCCTGCCCACTCCCAGATTAGCCCCACCCACTCCCAGGTGAGCCATACCTTGTACAGGTGAGCCACGCCCACTACAGGTGAGACACGCCCATTCCCAGATTAGCCACGCCCACTCCCAGGTGAGCCATACCTTGTACAGGTGAACCACACCCACTACAGGTGGACACGCCCACTCCCAGGTGAGCCACGCCCCTTATAGATAAGCCCTGCCCACTCCCAGGTGAGCTCCACCCACTCCCAGGTGAGTTCCACACCTGTACAAGTGAGCCACGCCCACTACAGGTGAGCCACGCCCACTCCCAGATTAGCCCCACCCACTCCCAGGTGAGCCACGCCCATTACAGGTGAGCCACGCCCCATAAAGATAAGCCACGCCCACTTCCAGATGAGCTCTTACCTGTCTGAGCTGTGTCTCAGTGATCTTACCTGTCTCACCTGTCTCACCTGTGTCTCACCTGTCTGATCTCACCTGTCTGTATCTCACCTGTCTCACCTGTCTCTCATCTGTCTCACCTGTCTGGATCTCACCTGTGTCACCTGTGTCTCACCTGTATCTCACCTGTGTCAGTTGTGTCTTACCTGTCTCACCTGTCTCACCTGTCTCCCACCTGTCTCTCACCTGTCTCACCTGTGTCTCACCTGTATCTCACCTGTCTGTGTCTCACCTGTCTGTGTCTCACCTGTGTCTCACCTGTCTCACCTGTCTGATCTCACCTGTCTGATCTCACCTGTCTGTGTCTCACCTGTGTCTCACCTGTCTCACCTGTGTCCCGTAGCCCCGCCCCCAGGCCAGCGCCTGGCAGAAGCTGGAGGCGTCGCGCGAGTACAAGAACCACAACCGGCTGCGGGAGTACCAGCTGGAGGGGGGGAACTGGCTGCTCTTCAACTGGTACAACAGGTGAGCACTCTCACCTGGGCAGGTGAGCACAGGTAAACACACCTGAGTACACCTGAGGGGCTGGGGAACGGCTGGGGAATGGGAACACCTGGGGAATGGGAACACCTGGGGCAGGTGTGAGCAGCACCAGCTGGAGGGGGTGAACTGGCTGCTCTTCAACTGGTACAACAGGTGAGCACTCACCTGGGCACACCTGGGCAGGTAAACACACCTGGGGAATGGGGAACGGCTGGGAAATGGGACCCCCTGGGGCAGGTGAGCCCAGGTGTGAGCAGCACCAGCTGGAGGGGGTGAACTGGCTGCTCTTCAACTGGTACAACAGGTGAGCACTCACCTGGGCACACCTGGGCAGGTAAACACACCTGGGGAATGGGAACACACCTGGGAACGGCTGGGGAATGGGAACACCCGGGGCAGGTGTGAGCAGTACCAGCTGGAGGGGGTGAACTGGCTGCTCTTCAACTGGTACAACAGGTGAGCACTCACCTGGGCACACCTGGGACAGGTAAACACACCTGGGACAGGTAAACACACCTGGGGAATGGGAACACCTGGGGCAGGTGTGAGCAGCACCAGCTGGAGGGGGTGAACTGGCTGCTCTTCAACTGGTACAACGGGTGAGCTCACCTGGACAGGTAAACACACCTGGGCAGGTAAACACACCTGGGACAGGTGAGAACACCTGAGTACACCTGGGGAACAGGGCACACCTGGGCAGGTAGGCACACCTGATATGTTATCTGTCCTTAATGGGTTTTGTGTTTGTCTTACCTGTCCCAGGTGTATCCCAGGTGTGTCTCACCTATCCCAGGTGTGGGTTACCTGTCTCAGGTGTATCCCATGTACAAGTTACCTGTCCCAGGTGTGCCTCACCTGTCTGAGGTGTGCCTCACCTGTCTCAGGTGCACCTTACCTGTCTCAGGTGTGCCTCACCTGTCCCAGGTGTACCTCACCTGTCCCAGGTGTGCCTCACCTGCCTCAGGTGTGCCTCACCTGTCTGAGGTATATCTCACCTGCCTCAGGTGTGCCTCACCTGCCTCAGGTATATCTCACCTGCCTCAGGGGTGCCTCACCTGCCTCAGGTATATCTCACCTGCCTCAGGGGTGCCTCACCTGCCTCAGGTATATCTCACCTGCCTCAGGGGTGCCTCACCTGCCTCAGGTATATCTCACCTGCCTCAGGGGTGCCTCACCTGCCTCAGGTATATCTCACCTGCCTCAGGGGTGCCTCACCTGCCTCAGGTATATCTCACCTGCCTCAGGGGTGCCTCACCTGCCTCAGGTATATCTCACCTGCCTCAGGTGTGCCTCACCTGTCTCAGGTGTGCCTCACCTGTCCCCCCCGCAGGCAGAACTGCATCCTGGCGGACGAGATGGGGCTGGGCAAGGGCAGCCCCCGTCCCTCAGGTGTATCCCAGGTGTGGGTCACCTGCCCCAGGTGTATCCCATGTACAAGTTACCTGCCTCAGGTGTGTCTCACCTGTCTCAGGTGTGCCTCACCTGTCCCCCCCGCAGGCAGAACTGCATCCTGGCGGACGAGATGGGGCTGGGCAAGGGCAGCCCCTGTCCCTCAGGTGTATCCCGGGTGTGGGTCACCTGTCCCAGGTGTGCCTCACCTGCCTCAGGTGTGCCTCACCTGTCCCCCCGCAGGCAGAACTGCATCCTGGCGGACGAGATGGGGCTGGGCAAGACGATCCAGTCGATCGCGTTCCTGCAGGAGGTGCACGGCGCAGGTGTGCGCGGCCCCTACCTGGTGATCGCGCCGCTCTCCACCATCGCCAACTGGGAGCGCGAGTTCGGCACCTGGACCGGCCTCAACACCATCGTGTACCACGGCAGCCTGGCCAGCCGGCAGATGATCCAGCAGTACGAGATGTACTGCAAGGACGCCAAGGTGAGCTCACCTGGGCAGGTAACACACCTGTATTGTGTGTGTAACACACCTGTATGGGGGCTGTGACACACCTGTATTGTACCTGTGACACACCTGTATTGTACCTGTGACACACCTGTGCGGCCTGGCCAGCCGGCAGATGATCCAGCAGTACGAGATGTACTGCAAGGACG